ACCTGTGTGATACTATGATTAAGATGGGTATGGGACTTATAACAATGCGTTTAGTGTTTAGACTTTGTGAAATGCTTGTAAACTGCTACATGTATTAATCCTACTTATAATGTCTGTATCCCATGCTATAAGGTAGTACTTAAGTGTATACTATATAGCTATAAAATATTTGTTCTGAACTATGTAACTCAACAAACAGGAAAAAAAATACCTTTACCTAGTGCAAAATGCTAAATCCCTATGAAAGGTGTTGTCTCAGGAAGGGCTGTCGAAACTAAATGGGCCGTTGTGGGACATCACGATGCAAAAACTTTATTAATTGCCCCTTCGCACCCATGAAGATGCTACATGCAAAGGGGCTCATCCCATCAGCTTGAATTCTGGAAGAAGGAAATAAAGAGAGTGAACAAGAAAATTTGTCATCTCTTTGCTATTTAGACTCTCAAAGGACACAGCTATGAAATGGAAGAAGAGATACCCAGGGTCAACCTGAGTTAGCCCTTCAAGACATTCAGACCTGACAGACTTCTATAACTGTCACCTTTTAAAACCATAGACTGTAACTCACTTGTGTATATTACTGGGGTGGCCACACTGTGTCTCATGAGCCACATTCGGCTCTTTTACTGTTAAAGTGTGGCTTGTGCAGCTTCTCTCCCCCATTCTCTGCCTGCCAGATTTGCGGGGGGATGGAGCTCGGGACTTCTGTCTTGCAGTGGGTGGTGGGGTAGGGGTTTCTGACCAGTGGGGAGGGGAGTCTTGGGGCTTCAGCCCCACAGGGCTCATGGCTTCTGCAGGAGCAGGGCTGAAACCGCAAGTCCCAGCAGACGCCCCCCACGGGGCTGAAGCCATGAGCCCCGGCAGACACCGCCCATGGGGCTGAAGCCACGAGCCCCGTCAGACACCTCCCACCTGGGGCTGAAGCCCTGAGCTGCAGCAGGCACACCCTGGCTCTCGAACTTCTGAAGATTGTCATACGCGAGGGTCAGTAAGTTTGGCCACCTCTGCTATATAAATTTGCTTGCTTTAACCTTGTAATAGTGCTTTCATTTCTTATCTTAGTTAATAAATCTTTAGTCAGTGTATTATAGGACTGGCTACAAGCATTGTCTTTGGTGTGAGATCTAAGATACAAATTGATCAGGGGTAAGAGACTGGCCTGTTGGGACTGAAAGCAACCTAAATCATTTGTGATCTTTGGTGTATAACAACCAACTATCACTAAGTCCAACTTACCTGGGTGACAAGACGCACTGGAATGACCAAGGGGACTGTCTGTGACTCCGTGGTAAGACTGTTACCGTGCTTCAGGAATTCATATTTGGGTTGGTAAAATTATAGAACATACAACTAGTTTGGGGTCTCTTCCCCACTTCTTGACATTCTGCTCTGAGGTTGGCACTCACGGTCATGAACCATTCCAGACAGATTGACATCCAGCTCCCCCTCTCATTACTTTGTTGGCTCTGCAGTGCTAACAAAAGTGAAAAAGAGTAAAAATTGTTATAGTCAACTCACTTTATGGCTCTGAGTCACTAAAGAACTTAAGTACATTTTTAGCTTTAAGCATGTGAATACTCTCATTGGTAGCAATTATAAGAACATAACATAAGAATGGCCATACTGGGTCAGACCAAATGTCCATCCAGCCCAGTATCCTGTCTACCGACAGTGACCAATGCCAGGTGTCCCAGAGGGAGTGAACCTAACAGGTAATGATCAAGTGATCTCTCTCCTGCCATCCATCTCCACCTTCTGACAAACAGAGGCTAGGGACACCATTCCTTACCCATCCTGGCTAATAGCCAGTGGTGAGCTGGAGCCGGTTCCCACCGGTTCGCAGGAACCGGTTGTTAAATTTAGAAGCCCTTTTAGAACCAGTTGTCCTGCATGGGGCAACTGGTTCTAAAAGGGCTTTTAAATTTAACAACTGGTAAAGCTCCGGCAGCTGTCTGCCCCGCCCCTGGCCCCAGCTCACCTCCCCCTCCTCCCCTGAATGCTCCGCCCCCCCTTCTCCTCCCTCTCCCCTGCTTCCCGCGAATCAGATGTTCGCGCAGGAAGCCTGGAAACAAGCAGCAGCAGGTAAGCTGGGGCGGGGTGGGCGCGAGGAGGGCTCCAGGGAGGCGCAGCGTGGCGCGGCCCAGTCCGTTCCTGGCCAAACGGCTCCCTCCGGTCCAGCCCGCAGCTCCGGCTGTGCACTCTATGCATCCAAAGAAGTGAGGTTTTTACCCACGAAAGCTTATGCCCAAATAAATCTGTTAGTCTTTAAGGTGCCACCAGACTCCTTGTTGTTCACTTTCTAAGATCAGGTTTTTCCATATATTGATATGTTTTTCCTATCTTAAGAGTAAAGAGATTCAAATTTCTATCTAAGGTACTTAGATTGCACCCATTACCATAGTCTCTGACAACTCACATATTCTCATGAAACCCTTATGAGGTAAGGAAGTGCTATTATACCCATTTTACCATTAGCGATCTGAGGCACAGAGATCAAAGTCCACCCAGATCCTCAAAGGTATTTAAGCACCTGACTGATTTCAGGGGGATTTAGGTGCCTAAATACCTTTGAGGATCTGGGCCTAAGTGACTTGCCCCAGGTCACACAGGAAGTCTGAGGGGAAGCAGGGAATCAAACTCTTGTTCCCAAAGTCCCAGGCTAATTGTCTATCCACTAATCAATCTTTTGTCTTTGTACATGATTTGTACAAATTGCATTGTAATAAAAAAAGGGTGCACTTGAACTTTATAACAAAGAGTTGTGGGGAAGAATTAACATTTAACTCTCCAAACATGACATATAGAAGAGTTCTTGAGACGTTGAACAAAAATGACATAGTCAAATCTTGGTGTTTAATGCAATAAAAGAAATTAAGCTTTTTACTAACGAATTTTTCCTTGCTGCTAATTATAATCATAATGTTATTGCAACTTCTTCCTGTCAAATCTTAAATCTAACTCTCCCCAGGAGTTCTGACTAGCTCAAATATACATCATTCTATGCTGCTTTTGAAGTATCAGAATATTCTAATAATACCTTTTTAATTGCCAGGTTTTTAAAAAAAACTAAAACTTCTTCATGAACATATAAAATGCATCATGTTAAATCCTGAAGATTTCTCAGTGAAACGTTTATAAGCTATTCTGATAGGAAGTATACATTACATTTAGGAGACCTTGAATTAAAAAGTAGCTCTAAATCTAAGATAAACAATTTAAATCCTTTTTTTTAAAAAGAGAAATAGTTAATTGATTTCTTATTGGATTATGGTTTCAGTAATTTAGGGATCACATACCTAATTAAGGGTTCAATCTGCACCTGCAGCTGATGTCTGCTTGGTGTAGCTGAGGAGAGGAGGAAGTAAAAGTGACTGTAAACCATGTTGCATCTGCCTAATCTTTGTGTTGGCTGGGGGCTGGTTCAGCTCAGAGTGAAAAATAGAGCAGTCTTAGGGTTGTTCTAGGATGCAACAGCCGCATGGCCCCAAGTGGCATTAGCTTAGCCAAAGACTGCAAAAAGTGGAGTGGTGTACCAGCTACTCCTCCTTTCCCTGGCCATACCACAGTGACTGTGGTGGGCAGCGGTGTAGGACAAGCTATGTTGGCTGTGTCTCCCTTGGATATTCTTCCACACTAGGGGAATCTTGTGCTGACTCGTTAACTGAGCATTATGGCCCTCTTGCAATGCTGGAGTGGCACAGAAAGGACAGAATAGAGTACCAGAATCTGCCCATACAGTTTTCTCAAAATGGCATAATTTCAATACAGTCCTCGGATCATACCAAATTGGCCTTTTTGTTTTAGAATAATTCAATTTTTCTGTCTCCCTTTCGTACCTTTTCCCTTTAACATTTGTTATAATAGGTTATTGTAACATATTACATAAACTTTTACAAACTTTTTACAGTTGAGCTCATAATTTGGGTAAACGTGTGGACTCAGTTGTCATAACAGACTCCCCAGCTCTGGGGAAGAAGGCTAGAAAGGAGACCCCTTGAGGTCCCCTGGAGTCTTCACTGCTCCTGGACATCCAAGTTCATCAGTAGTCAGAAACAAATGTCGTTTATCATATCCAGTTTGCACCCCTTTCCAGATCTGGCTGCAGCGATTCATGTATTCAGAGTGATCTAGGTGCAAGTACTGCAGTACACTATGTTTGGAATTGAGAGTAGCTGCCTCAGAGAAATTCAAGATGGTACAACATGCTGGAGCTCTTCTTGTGAGTAGCACTAGGAACACATACACCTCCTTGCCCACTGTTGCCCAGCTCATACCACTGGCTACGTGTCCAGTACCAGTACCAGATCATGTTTAAGGCCCTGATCCTGAAGGCTTGTAATGGTCTGAACCCCAGCTTTCTCTGTAACCATGATCTACCGTGGCAGCAGAGTTCATCTGGCATGCTGCAGCTGTTCATGCCTAGGGTAAACCTCACAAGTGCAAGGGATTGGGATTTCCCTGGAACTGCTCCATGGCCACAAAACTTCTTTCCACCAAATACCTGGTCTCATCATCATCATCCCACAGCACCTGATACCCAGAGGGATGCTTTCTGAAGCTTCTAAATCAGGGGTTCTCAAAGGGTCATGAGGTTATTATGTGGGGGTGGCGAGTTATCAGCCACCATCCCCAGCCCCTGCTTCATCTCCAGCATTTATAATAGTGTTAAATATAAAAAAATATTTTTAATTCATAAGTGGGGTCGCACTCAGAGGCTTGCTGTGTGAAAGGGGTCACCAATACAAAAATTAGAGACCCACTGTTCTAAATAATAGATAATATTAGAAACAAACCATGGACTAATTACTGGCCTGCCTTCCTGTACTGGTCCACCTAGTGTCAGGTACTCTAGGGAAAACTCTGTTTCTACAATGGAAGCTTCATCTCTTCAATTGATTTGGGAATTGCGATTTTGTAAAGCAATTTTAATAGAAATACTGTAGCATAGCACAGAGGTAAGAACAAGTTAATCATCACTCCATCTGAGATGAGAAGTTACTGATCCTAAAAGAGGGAGAGAATCAAGTAAGTTATGGCTTAAAATTCTCTTTGATTTGTGTATGACCCTACTATTTAATTTGCTTAAGATTGAACAGGGTGGACAAGGTAGAGAAGGTTTCATGAGAGAAACAGTTTCATAGCAATTCAACTTCATTTGAGACTTCTGGCAAGCATTAGCGTGCATATTGTAAATCTGTTTCTTTATTAGATTTCTCTCTCCTATCAGATACAATTTTGTAGCCATCTATGGCACTGGCTCATGTTGGTGTAGAGAAGAAAATTGTTTATTAGACTGACCCCTTAACAGTTTAGTTTATCATATTATGCGGTGTGTGTTAAGCTTTAAATTACTGACAGAGAAAAAATATTCATTCTCTTTAAGTTGAGATTGTAAGTTAAACATTAAATTTGAAAATATTACAGTTAAATAACAAGTGTTTAAAAACTGCATAGAAGTGAACAATTAAGGGATGGGAGATAAATACTCTGATATCTTCATAGTTCATGCAAACTCTTAAATACATGTACTCATGTAAAACATTATTACCTATCCCAAAAACAATCTTAATTCTGTCCCAATGTTAGCCACTTGTCACCCAACTGGAATATGTTTATATCATGACAACTGGATTTTAATGGTATTTAACTCTATACAAAGTTTGGAGTGTTACAGTCTAACCATTTTTTAGTTGAAGATACCCACAAAAGTTGGATACTAAACATATTTTCAAAGATGTAATTTTTAAACCCCTGTGGAGAAGATTTTCCAGTGTGAATCAACTTGCTCAGTAGAATTTTGAAGTGGGCTAATCCAAACATGGCTTTAAGCAGCCTTTGCATTTCCCCTATCTTGGGGCCACGAAGTGTTGGCCCATGCGTGGGCAAACAGAGTAACATAAAGGCTGTGCTAGCTTGTGCCAATTGCCAACAATACTCAGGCTATTTCAGCAACTGAGTAATCTGCAGGTATCCTAGTTTTCCATGCTAAAAATAAAAATTAAAATCCATGTTTTTCCACGATTAAAATTAAATGCTGAACTTTAGTTTCCTTAGCCACAATATACATAGGAATCAGTTGAAAACAATGTTTTATTGTTATATTTACAATTTTAAAGCAAGTTTGAAGCCTACCAGTGACAGCGGTGAGGGCTTGGGCCGTCAGCGCATTCAAAAATCAACCACACGAGGGGGAGGTTGCACACATTGAATAAGTGACACTAGTCCTTTCAGTTAAATTTAGTTAATGTATGTTTTTATTTGTTCACAAAATGTAAACACTAAAAATTCTCTGTAAAAATGCAAATTCCATGTTTTTCTGCATTTTTATGTGGCAAATAGAGTTCTAGGATCCCTGGTAATAAGCTACGTGCAGGGTCGGCTCCAGGCACCAGCAAACGAAGCAGGTGCTTGGGGTGGCCAATGGGAAGGGGCGGCACATCTGGGTCTTCAGCGGCAATTCGACGGTGGGTCCCTCAGTCCTTCTCGGAGCAAAGGATCCGCTGCCGAATTGCCGCCGAGGAATGAAGCGGCACGGTTGAGCTGCCGTCAAAGTGCTGCTGATCACAGGGCTTTTTTTGTTTTTCCCCCTTCGCCGCTTGGGGTGGCAAAAAAGCCTGAGCCGGCCCTGGCTATGTGCACAATGTGACCCTGTTCAAAACCTCAACTTACTCTCTGTTGTGTTTCCCCTTCCCCCACCCGACATCTGTAGAATGATTTTCCTTCTACTCTCACTCAAGATCATGGGCTGTTGCCAGCACAAATGCACTGTGAGAATCATGGAGGTATAACTTGCTCCCTAAAGGTCCTCCCTTGACCCTGGGCTGAGCATATCTTGGATAGTATCTGGGGCAGTAACTTTTTTAATGATCCGTAACAAAGGCTTGGCCAGTTTTCTTCAAACTTGACAGAAAAAAAAATCTCCTTAGCCTTGAAAGTAAACCTGACAATCTTCAAGCTAAGCAAGTTTGATAGCCAAAGAACCAATGCAAAAATGGGACTGCAAATAGGTCTTTTAATGGAACCTGGTTAGTCTTAACTATGGAGCCATAACTTTTGTTTTTTTGTTTTTGGTTTTGTTGTTTAGAGTTATTTTCCATTGATTAGTTATTTATCTGTAATGCTGTTTTCTGGTTAGGGTTTGTCACAAGAGACAGCATTAAGGTTCACAAAAAAATCATACATCCAGCTTGGATTACTCAGGAATCCCTGGAATGACAGGTTCAAATTCTGGCAGGGTTGATTCAGTCCTTCATCTTTCAAGGTAAATAGAATTTATTGTGTGAAGATTTTTTCAGATGAGGTCCCATGTACACTTTAATTTTCCCATGGCACTTAGTGTAAAATGAGACTACAGATTTGCCTTAGTCTATTTGGACAAAATTTCTCTTCCTAATGCTGTGTGCTATTCACCTGCCAGCTGTTCTTCTCCTAGGAAAGGGAGCTGCCATTTTTTGTTGTTGTTGCAGACTACTATCCCTAAGCTATTAATACAAGGACATATGGGTACCTCATTGTTAGAAACGTGGATCTGCCGGACACAAATTGGTTATGAAAATGAATCTTCCAAGGATAAGGTTCCAGCATCCAGCAGCACAGCCGCCGAAATACTGTCCTGACGTCTCCTCAGTACACTGATAATATTCTCATAGAAATCTTTGTAAGGGAGAAATCTTTGATGTCTGGCTGAAACATTTGTATTTTTAGAAGTCTTCACAACCATACTCTGACATCCCCTAAGGTAACTGACTAACAATTGAACATCCTGTACAGCTACATTCTACCTACTTTCCAAGGTACACAAATCCATAAACCCTCACTGACCTGTGATGTCAATGTGTTCCTGCCTGCAGCCCTTATTTCTGCTTTGTTAGAAAGCTTGATGAGACTGCTTATTGAATTTCGTCCTTTCAACATCAAAGACACTAGCCATGGTCTCCAATTATTAAATTGATTCTGCTACAGTGGATATCACTGATTCATTTTCACATGAGACATCCAGTCATTGTAAAGAGCAATTACCTATAATAAGAGCCTAGCAGTTCTCCACCACTCTTTTAACAAACACACAATCTAGTCATTATCCAGACAGGCAATGATCTGATATTGATGATAATTTTACCAAAATGTCAGTGTAGCTGCTGTATGGATCAGGATTTTCTGACCTCGCCCGCATTGTTTTGCTTGTATTTTGCTTTAGCTATGCATATTTTTTAATCTCACAGATTGACTTTTTAAGAGTCAATCTTTCTGAAAGGCAGCATAGTCTAGAGGAACAGGGTTGGTGTGACAGAATGTACCCATATAGCCACACCCTACACACAGTTGTAATAAACTTTGTACACCGTATATCTGTGAGATGTCATTTAAAAATTCATAATTTGCTGATCAATAACATCATGGCAAAATGCACATAGCAGCGTTATATGTGAAGTTATAAATCTAAGATGAGATCATGACTAAAAGTATGTTTTCCAGAGAAGTCTGGGGAGTGGCTAAACCAGTTCTCCAGAGACAAAGAGCAAGCTAATGTCTCAGCCAGGTGTAAACAAGGCTGATGGACCATTACCTGCTGAGTGGCCATTCTTTGGCTGGAAAGGGGGCAGGGACAAAAAAAAATCTACTTCTTAGCAAAGAAACAGCACAGAGTTCCCTTCCACGCAGACTGCTTATGCCTTGCTCCCAGCTGGCTTCTATAAGGGCGGACAGGACTATAAAAAGAAGGGGCATATGTCACAAGGTACCCCTCCCCTCTCTCTCCATCGATTCACTACATGAGAAGGGACTAAGGAAACAGTCATTGAACTGGAGAAGGGGTCCTGACCTAAGAAGTTTGGTCAGTAAAACTGCTGAAAGCATGTGGTGAGAAAACCTGGCTTTGAATTAGGGCTGTAAGCGATTAAAAAAATGAATTGTGATTAATCACAGTTTTAATCACACTGTTAAATAATAAGAGAATACAAATTATTTAAATATTTTTGATGTTTTTTACATTTTCAAATATATTGATTACAGTTACAACACAAAATACCAAGTGTACAGTGCTCACTTTATATTATTTTTATTACAAATATTTGAACTGTAAAAAGGATAAAACAAAAGAAAGTATTCAATTCATCTCATGTAAGTCCTGTAGTGCAATCTCTTTATCGTGAAAGTGCAATTTACAAATGTAGATTTTTTTTTTTACATCACTGCACTCTAAAATAAAACGGTAAAACTTTAGAGCAATGTTTCTCAAACGTTTTGTGCAGGTGCTCCCATTAGGATATAAAAAAAAAGGTGACCTCCACCCTGGAAAACTTTGTTATCCCCTACCTTCAATCCTGCGGGGTTTGGGAGTTCAGCCCCCCTCGGGCACAGAGCTCCAGCCCCTCCCGCTCCCCCCCACTGCTTCTGGATTATGATTAACATGTTAAAATATTAATGTATTAATCATTTGTGAATTAATCCTTAATTGACATCCCTGGTGCAAAGTGAAAGATCATGGGGACTTATCAGTTGGAAGTGACAGAGGAGGAGTAAGACCTGGTTTGTATTGGTTGATGACTACGAGTTGCCAATCTGATGCAGCTGTGAAAAAGGCTATTCAATCCCTAGGATGCATCAGGTGAGGTATTTCCAGTAGAGACAGGGCAGTGTTACCACCATTGTAAAAAAATTTAGTTGCAATTAATCTCAGTTTTGATCGCACTATTGCAAGGCTAAGTACCAATACCATTGAAGTGCCAAGTCTGCAGTACCACTTACAAGCTAAACATGCTTTTGCCTCCAGTTCTTGTGCTACAGATAACCCACCAACAGCAAATGAATCCCGCCAACCGTGACAGAATACGCTTACAGAGTTTCAGGATTGCTACAAGCCCATGGATCAAAGTACAACAGCTTAACCAATGCTGTTGCAAAGTGGATATAACTATGGACTACAGAACACTCAACATTATAAACGACAGAGGGCTAAGAGATGTTATTCAAATTGCATCTTCCAATCAGTCATATACCTTGACCTCCCGAGGAACCATTGCATCACAAATACATGACCTATATCACAACAAGAAGACTACAGAGTTGGAGCTTCTGAAAAATGCACTAGCTGTTGCTTTGACTGGTGATCACTGGGCATCCTTGAGCAATCACAGCTATCGTGGAGTCAGGGCGCACCTGATTTGATGCTGCTTGGACACTGCAGTGGTTTGTTTTACCAGCAATGCATACTGAAGAGAGAGATTATACTGAAACAAGTATAGAGCATTTCTGGAATGTTGCGAAAGAATGGAATGTTCAAGAAAAGGAAACAACAATTAGTACTAACAGTGCGATCAAAACTGCGATTAATCCCAATTAATTTTTAATTGTAATTAATTTGGTTTGAGTTAATTGCTGAGTTAACTGCTATTAATTGACAGCTCTACTTTGAATTTAACATAGTTTGTTAAGCACCAGTTGCATTTTACCTTTATTTTTCTTGTAACCCTTTCTGACTTTTCTGCCTCATTACTTTACTCAAATAAAATCTCTCTCTTTGTGGTTATTAAACTTGTTTTTTGTTTTATCAAATACAGTATGTTTGAATCAAAGCGTCTGCAAAACTCCATTTGGGTAACAAGATGTGTGCACATAATTTCTTTTAATGTCATGATGGATTTTATATTAGCTTGTGTTGTCCGGGAGAGGGCTGGGCAGTACAGGACATGCATTTCTGGGGGGCAATCTAGGACTGGGGGTGTGGTGGTCACCCTGCAATATAGCCCAGGCTTATCATAGCCAAGGTGTGTCTGGTTGGCTACAGCACACATACAGACATAGCTGGGAGTGACTTGCATGCTAGAGGCTGTTTGTGAGCAGTCCAGACTGAAGGTTACAGCAGCAAAGGAGGGTAAAGGGCACCCTGGGTTAGAGGGTAGGGGTGACACAACTAATCATTGGCCTGGATTGTACCCTGGCTATGTCACAGTTGGGAATTGGAACATCCTAATTTCTAATACCAGCTCCACCACTATGAGAGCTTGGGAAAGTCATTCTGCCTTTCTGCCTCAGTTTCCCCCTCTGTAAAATGCAGAGGATAATACTTAACCACCCATCTCACAAAGGGGGTTGAGGATTAATTAGTTAATGGGTATATAGTGCTTTAACCATGTAATGTTCTATAAAATGTTAAGTATTATTATTATCTTTATTAGTAGTAGAAAGGCGCTCTCTCTTTTTTTTTAGACCTGCAAACCACAGATTCACTTCATAGATGTCCTAGAACTATGATGTCTCTGTGGGCCATTCGCTAGGGCTGTGTTCTTCAACCTTTTCAGGTAGGCCAGCCCATATTTGAAATTTTCATGATCTCCTTACACTTACTATAAAATAAGAATAAAAAATATATTAATATAACCCTATATAATTTATTTGTGCATATGATTCAAGAGGTAGACAGAGAATACTTGAACTTGGAGGATAAAGGTGTGCGGTGGGCAGGGAGAGAGAGAGAGAGATTTTTTATTTTAGATTACAATAAAATGTTTAATGCCTGATAACCTCCTTGTCCCCAGCTGCCTTTCTTGACAAACTCCCTCCTTCCCCCCCCTCCCCGTCCCTCCCTCCTTCCTCCCCACCCCCCACTGGGGTTACAACAACCCACAAGTTGAAAAACACTTCATTAAAGTTTCACATCCTTGAGCAGGTCTTATGTTGCAGCCAGTAGAGAGCAGAGGTAGACATATACATATAGTGAATACTTGTAGTTTCTTATATACATATAGTTTCTGTTCATTTTGTGTATATCTTATTTGCCAAATTCACACTGTGTTACCTACAATATAAACCTTCCTCTCACTGAGTTATATATGCCAGTTATTTTTACACCCTTGCCCTTATCTCACCTGGCCATTCAAAATTCCAGTTGACTGGCTAGATTGTTTCTTAGGCCCATTGCCTTCCCTTTCTGCATAAGCAGTGGTGGAAGTTGAGGACTCACCAGGGAAGATCCATTGTATCCAGTGTCTTGACTGTAGCAGGGCTATGGCCTGTGCAGTGTTAGTAGAGGTTCGGTAGGATTACCAGCTGAAAAAATCCTCAACATTTCAGGTCATGTGGACCCTATGGCCCTAACTCTGCAGTCCTTTCAGCGCAGGCAGTCTAGCTGGCCTGTTTTCTACGTTGCCATTGACTGCTCTACTGCTACCTGTGCACATGTGTCTCTTCTGGTTAGGTCCCCATGAGGCAGAAGGTTAGATGCTGTCGCTCAGGGACGCAACAAATCAAACATCTTACCCAGTATTATTGACACTGTTTTTCAGTTTGAGAGTATTATTCATGGAAGCATGTTTCCCATTCTTCCTTAGTCACATGCCCTTTTTCTCTATGGGTACTATGGAGTACAAATGAAGCAGTTACTGGCAGCTGTAAAGTGAAGCTGGGGTGGGAATCATGGGCTCTCTAGCACCTATTCTGTTCACTCACACCCTTTTCCTCCAGGCCATGTAGCAGTGGGGAGCATGGGGGCCTTAATTAACACATCAGATGAAGTCTATTTTTTCCTAGGATTCAAAACATCTCTATAAACAGTTTTGTTGTTGTAATTTTAGATTAATTTAACTTTCGGTGCATCTCTTTCCTCCTCTTCATTTTCCTGGCAATACATGATGTTTCTCTTCCCGCTAAGGTTAAAGATGTATGGACACTTGGTTGCCAATATTTCCAAACAGACATTTAAAAACAGGTATTTTCTATCAGCATTTTGTTTTGTAAAGGTTCTATGACAGATTTGGAAATTGAAGCTCTTCACTTATCGACAAACTGGAAACCAGAGAGAGGCAAGGATAATGTGAGCCTTAAAAGTGAAATTACAAACATGTCCATTACCTCATTTAATTTGCTCTTGGTTCTGTGAAGTTCCCTCAAACAACCCAAAAATCAATTATCTTTTTACAATCAAAAACTTTTTTCAGCTATTTTTCACCAATATTATTTGAGGCTATTACTAACTGAGTTGGGGCGAACTGAGAGTAAACCATTAGACTAGATGCATACAAAAAAGTTTCATTTCAAGACCAGTGTTTTACGCTTGTATAGCTCATGAGAGAAAACAGTTTGGCAGTGACTCACTTTAATCTTTAGTTCAGATCACCAAACCTCTGTAAAATTTGGCACATTGAAACCATGCTTGACAGACTCTATTTAAGATGTTCAGGTTGGGAGCAGCTGGGGTTGTTGCAGAATTGGGGTGAGATGTATTTGAAGAGCTGTGGTGGAAATCCTGTGCTCCAGGCACTTCTGCTAGCTCTGATTTTCCATGTGCGCTATATTCACACAGAGACATTAAAAGAATCGTGTTACTTTTTATTGCCATGAGAGAAGGCTATGTCATGTGATGAGAAAGGCTTGAAGCAGGATATACATGTTTATATAATGTATACCCCTCCCAGGAGCCAGTCCCTGGGCTGATGTTAGCATTAGTGGTAACCCAAATCTACTGATGCCAAATTCAAAATTGTAGCTATCTCAGCCGAGGCTGTAAAAACTCCATTTTTCAGAATACTGTTGTGCTTTCTTCAAGAGAAGAAATTATGGCCTGAAACACTGAGCTTTTCACCAATAGGACCAACTGTTGCCAAGAAATAATGCTTTTTTTGGTCCGGGGGGCGGTACGGCACTGAACTGGGACTCAGGACTTCAAGGATCAGTTCTTAGTTCTGCCACAGGCTCATTTTGTGACCTTGGACAAGTCACTTAATTTGTGCTTTGATTTCCCATCTGTGAAATGGCAATGATACTTCCCTGTATCATAGGGCTCTTGTGAATATGAATCCATTAATGTGTGAGGAGATCCGGCAACTACACTGAGGAGAACCATATACATATCCAAGCATACTGCATCGCTGCACAGTCCCATCTGCATGTCTCTGAGGTAGGGAGTGCCAATATGCAGAGGGCTGGGACTCGGACAAAGGCCCGTTTGTCAGGGAAGAAGTGTAATGGTAGCTAAAGATACTGTATAGAGATAGTCGGAAGGCAACGCGGATAGGGGACTGAGAGTGGGGCAAGGAGAGGGGAAACAATTCATGTAGTAGGATTCCAGCATAGTGTAGGATATGGGTGGAGCTTGGAGTGAACCACCATTCATTTTTTCTCAATTAGTGATGACTTATAAAGGGTCCATTGTTTACATTATCTGCGGTCAATAATAGAGGTCTAGAACATTAGCCAATGATTGTATAGGTAAATGAATGCATCTTCACTCGCCGCTGCTGAATTGAGCAATCTAACATCTAGATGTGTGTATGGATGTATATAAATATCCAAATCTATGACTCTCGATTGCATCATGAGAGGAAAATAATAGTGTTTTCTGGACCTGTAACTTACCTTTCCTCTTTAGAATGTTATTATTTGTTATTAGAATGCTATTATTTGGGAGCTGTATGGCCACAATGGAAAGATTTCCTGGTGTATTTGAGGAGAGTCTGTTAGTGGTCACAGATTGTCTGAAGTCACATTCCAATTAGCCAACTGGGCAATTTTAGTGATGTTTTTACATTAGATAATTAGGGTCGGAATGTTGCTTACACTTGAGATTCATCTTTCTGATAATTTATAGATTTGGTTCATAACTTGACACTAACAATTTAGACTAGTTAACATAAGTTATTGTTATGTCTTTGAATTTATGACATATATACACTGCTCTGTACCACTCTTGCATGCTAACTATGTGTTGTAATTTCACTACAAACAATATATTTATACATTTTTTGGAACTGGAAATATATTTCATTGTAAAGCAGTTCTTTAGATTACTTGGGAATTGGTTGGTTCTAATGTATTATTATGAAGCCTCCATTTTGGATAGAGATCTTGTCAGTTATTTACTTTGGAAATATATAAGAGTAACTATATAAATGTGCTTTCACTATCCTTACATGGAATCTTTATCCATTTAAATATATGGTGCGTGATTCTTCTCTAACTTACACTGGTTTAATTCAGAAGCGTGGTAGAATCACTCTGGTATAAGTGTAAGGAGAATCATGTGTACAATAAGGGAAGAGTACTTAATATGGGGTTTGTGTACTGTAACTTCAAGCATTTCTGAAATTAGTTATTGTGATTGACAGGCTACCTTACTACTCATTTTTTAAGTTTAAGGGTATCTAATGAAATTAATCATAGCCTGAAGGAGATGGTTCAAAACCTGCTAAGAATTACATTTGTCGGTGCAGATTTTACAGCTCACTTGGACTGATTTGCTACTGGCAAATATATCACTGTCAGGCAGTTCTGTAAACTTTGCATTTGCAATCTTTTGAACTATCAATACAAACCCCAGCATCAGCGTGAAAGGCTAAGGGACTAATGGAAATGTTGATGCTAGATTTTCATCTCAGCAGTACTTCTAATAAGGATGTATTGTTATGCCTCTGTTTTATCTAATAATACTTGTTTAGTCCACCTCAGGAACTCAGGCAGAAAGAAAGAAAAAATATTTTACTCCTTCTGAATAAAACAAGAAGTCTCTCAGGCTAGAAATTGGGAGGAACTGAAATATGTACAGGATTTCATAGAGTCTGCACCCAGATTCCACGCGATCATTAGTGAACCAGTTATCAGAGCGCGTATTAGCTTAAGCATACATTTTGCTTGGTTGGACAATGAGGGTGCATCAGGGCCCATGCCACCCATTCAGTACCTTAAAAACATAAAAATAAGAAGTTCAGGGAAAAATCTGCAGCAATCCTTGACATTTTCACATTACATACAGTGCTATCAATAACACACTACAGCACTCCTCAAGACATTGACTTCCATCTGCAACAGATACCAAAAGGCAATACATACATCAATTTCTTGAAACTCATGCTGTAATGGAAAACCTTAATAGCAACCTCTTAAACAAGTGACCTTGTGTCAACATATTGACACATCTGACCATCACACATCCCATTTATTCACAAAATTATTCTGCCTTAACATTGCTGAGGTAGCTGTTAATATTTTGTATTAGAGCATGAGATTCATGAAGTTTGGGTGTGTATTCTTTTTTAGTATTTGTGTCCAATACCTGTGCATTTCCAAACTGGGAGGTGTAACTCCACATTTATACTATAAATGTGGTTTTTGATGTTAACTTCCTGCTGAAGTCAGCTTCTCGGTATATCAGAAATTGCCACAGAACCTCACACTCTGTCATACAAAGTAGTAGAAGTAATACTAATAATAGTATTTACAGACTAGTTTTCATCAGAGGGTCTTAAAGTATTTTACAAAAGTGCATAAATTGTTATCCTCCTTTTACGTATGGAAACTGAGACTGAGGCAGACCAGTGACTTATGCTAACTCAGAGAAGTCAATGGCAGTGCTAGGCATATAACCCAGGAGTCTTGACTCCCAATCATCTGCTCTCACTCAAAGCACTTTTTAAAAATTGAGACATAGAATTGTGGCCCCAAGCAGTCTTGGGGATTTGGACACATTTTTTGAAGTTAATGGAAGATATGTGTCTATATCCCCTAGGCTACCTTGAAAATCTCAATCCGTGTGGCTAGGTTTTGGTTAACGCTAGGCAATGTGGTTGTCTAGGCAAGTGTAATGAACCCTGGCCTTATTCAAAGGAGCCGAAGTTCCCTCTGGGAGGGTATTTCACAGTGGTAGTGTCTATGTGTATACATGGCTATGGTTCATTACCCAAGGATTTCGATAAGTGCTAAGGAGCCCAAACACTTTCCAAAAATTACTTTCCTTAAAAAAATAAAAATAAAAACATTTTCCAGGCCATTTTAAAACTTCCCTTCTCCCAAAGCTTGGCATACATATTGAAAATCAAAACAGTCCCAACAGAATAGTGTTCCCAGTGCACATCATATTAAACAAAACAAAACAAAACCCCCCACAGGCTCTGAGATGATTTCAGTAATAAAGGCTTTAAAATTACTAACTGGTACGTTTTGGTTATAGGGCCTTTTCCACAGGAGTCATATAGAGAAATTTCTACCTTCAGTGTAAATACTGGTGATCCAGTGGGAAAGCATTGCTATAATTCTCCACCAAGCAGCTGGTCAGATCAATCTCATCACACCAGGGTTTTCTGCTTTCTGGCAGTACATCGATGCCATCTGAGATGGATTTAATTCTTCACAACAAATCCAGCATTACAGCAGTCAGTTGAATGGGAAAATAGGGAGGGATGCAGTTTAGTCACAGGATGTCAGACTCCATGTTCTCTATGAAAGTATTATTTGCATTTCTTAACCCTCAGTACAGTTACTGAAGGCATATATACTCATGCAGTTTCCCCCTTCAGCTACTTAATTCTCAAACAATCATACAAGACTTTCCTGTTCTTTGTACTCCTCACTCTAAGGGATTTATCCTAACCTTCCTCCCTACTCCCCTTCCTTCATAAATGCCAACTCATGGTCTTTCCCTCCCACATCTGTCGAACTCTCCTGCAATCTGCCCCACAGAAGTGATTCACTCTTCCTTATCTGCTGGTGGAGGCATGGGCACAGTGAAAAACTTGGGCACAGTGAAAAGTTTGAAGTTTCTCACTGATTTTCCCACAGAAAGTGTCTATTCCCTGACCCAGCCCTTCGCTGTAAAATACATTCAATATTCCACTAACAGGAAATGATGACAACCGCCTTACCTTCCCAACACACCCATTTTCCAGTTGTCATGGAAATTAGGTAGCACTGTAAATCAGAAAATGTCACTGAGTTGGGATGCTTATTAGACTTGATTCTTTGGAGTCCATATTAGATGAGGAGAAGTGTCCATGACATTTGGGATCTTCAAATCTTCTTGGCAGTTTTCATGAGAACTTAGATTCCTCCAAGTTTTCATCACCCGATGCAAACTTTGACAGCAGTATTAATTCAAAATAGAAGATACTCCCCTCCAAATCAAATGCTTCCTCCTTTCTTGTCCAAAAGGGACATAAAGTGTAGTTCATCAGTGAAATGATTAATGGGAATATAAGATCTACAAAGAGAAAATTCAAACTCAGAGCAGGGATTCTCCTATGACGTACACCAGTGAGAATGGAGTTACACTAGTTTAAAAACTGGTATATGTGATAGGAGAATCCGGGTCAGATTCTCTGATTCAGCATTGTCTTTGCACTTTTTATTCTGGATGAAAAAAACTTATAAGTGCTCTGTAAAAACTGAATAAAATAACAATTAGTCTCATGCAGTGGTAGTAAGGTGTATTTAAAAGGCATGTGGAGCCTTCCCTTTTTGAAAATATTATACGTAGTGATCCTGACTTCCAGTGACTGCTTTATTACCATCCATTACGGAATTTTCATGGCTTGTACAAAAACTGTGTGGTACATGAAATCCTTTCTGTGATCTCCACTCATTTCCATTAGTTAATTATGTTGAGTTCAGGTGTCTAACTCTCATTACAGAGGAAGTGTTTCTGCACAGGGAATTCCTGCTTGAGTGTCTGAGTGTGAGATTTCCAAGCTTCATCTCTTGAGTCTGTCAAAGGACCAGTTCAATTTAGTTAGTAAAGAAGTATGAATGTTTATGCCATGGTCAAAAAGCCACAGTTTTTTATTCACTGTAGCAAACTTGTCATTAAGTGGGACTATCGAGTGACAAAAAATGCAGAATCCCTTACTGAGTCTCTCTCACTTGCCATTAGTTGGAAGCAAGGGTTCTTCCTGGGTATCATCTACATTCTTGTAGAACCCTCAGCATTGACATACATCTTTTCCCGCTTTACCATCTGCTGCAAGATTTATGTTGTAGAGCTGCTCTTATGGACTCCTTCCTTCAGAACCTATTGATGCTACTCTGTAATCAGTTGGCAGGCCTGTTTTTGAATGAGAATTTATCTCCCTTCCTATCAGGATCTGGATGCACAGCATCTGCAGGATTCCCAGCCACTGTCAGTTTGAAGAA